CAGGTGACAGTCGGGCGTAAGCCAGTGACTGGACTCAAACTCAGCCTAGAAGGCCCGAAACAGAATCGCCTAGTCATCAACCTTCAGCATTTGGTCTCTCTCCCCAAGAACCTCGGGCCTCACTGGGAGGCCCACGTGGCCATAGGCCCGCCTAGGTGGCAAGGGCCCGAAGAGCAAGACAGCCGTTGGTTCGAGCCCATCAAGTGGAAGAACTTCTCACATGTGAGCACGGCCCCAATCGAGTTCACCGAAACCCACATTGGTGACCTGTCGGGGGCCCACATTGTCACGGGGGCCCAACTTGGGGTGTGGGACTTTGGGGCCCGAAGTGTTTTGCACCTCAAGCTTTTATTCTCTAAGGTGCCTGGGTGCACCATAAGGCGATCTGTATGGGATCACAGCCCGTCAATGTCAGCCGGGCCCTCGATGGGCGAGGGGTCGGGGGGGCAGATTGGTAAATTGGCGAAAATTGTGGACTTGTCGGAAATGTCGAAAGGGCCCCAGGACTTGCCGGGACACTGGCTTGTGACGGGGGCTAAGCTCGGGGTCGATAAGGGGAGGATCGTGTTACGTGTCAAGTATTCGCTGTTGAATTATTGATGGATTTTTTTTATTTTTTTTGGTAGGATTTTTTTTAGTTTGTGTTTCTCACATTCATAGTCTAGCAAAATTTGAAAGTTTTTTTTTTTATTATTATTATTATTGTTATTTGGTCGAAGTGTTGGATTTATTTTTGTGTACATTTGTTGATATTGTACCGATTATATGTGTAAGCAATAAATTTTGAGTTGCATTTTGTATCATCCTTATGTGAGGAGCCTTTTTTTACATGGAGCATTTTGACATGCAGCAATATTTTAGATGTTACTCTGCTAAGAGTATGTAAATTGACCTGATGATTGTGAAAGAGGGGCTGGTGATTATGTAGCCGGAATACTTTGCTGACTGACCGGATTCCGGCGAGCGTTGAACCACCGGAGAAAAATGTTGGCTGATAATTCTTGAGGAAGGATCATCAAGAATGAGTAGAATTGAATCTACTCATTTTCTCAATGGTTATTTGATTTATTTTTTTTCAAAATTCATTGTTTGAAAATTTCGTTAGAGAGCTCATTTATATGATTCATCAAATATAATGTATGGTACATATTACCTTCAAATTAGCTATAGAATTCTATAGACAGAATCATTTATTGCATATAACTTTGCCAAATTTCAATATGAAGTTCTGTTTACATGGATTTGTTGTTTCTTCACATATTTCTTGTTAGGTATCTGCATATGCCCATTTCACAAAAACTACTTGGTAATTGGATTTTCTTCTATTAGATTTAAATAGTCAGAGGAGGGTATGGAACCCTACCTTAAGAGTACGAGCTTAGTTGTCAGCTTGAGAAGATTCTATCGCAAAGGCGATTGGCTACATATTAAAATCCATTTTGATTGACTGAATTTTTTTACACATTATAACCCAATATTCAACTCAAATTTAATTCAACCAAATTATCCTTAGTATTATCAACATAATTAAACAATACTAATTAATCACCCACATACAACGCGTCAACTAAGATATTTTTAGCTCCCTATCATTTTCAATAATTTCTCTCCAATTTTCACTTCACGTCAACCTTATACATTAATTTTATATATTATTTAAATATAAACTCAGAATCACACCATTCTTAGTTCAGTCAACTTTATTAAAAATTAACTCAATTTAAATAATAAATTCAATCAAAATTGGATTAAGTTATATCCAGTCACCCACTTGGACTTGGTGATGGAATCAGTAGTCAACTAACCTTATAAATTAAGCCTATTTTTCTATAAAATTATAAAGACAAATTACAAGTGATAATCCAACTTCTTTTAACTACATATAACAAAACAAATACCAATAACAACATCAACATAATGAAAATTGAAAAAAGAAAACAAAAGAGTTGGATTGTGATTGGTAGATTGTTTGGTTTTAATAGATAATGCACAAATACACATCTATAGTAATATAAAGAGGTTGTTGGAAAAATACTTTTATAGTAAGTTTGACTAAAAATAAATAAATAGTTTGACTTACTATTAATGGAAATTTCGAAAAAAAACACATGTACCAAAAAAATTGAGATTTTTATGGTAACAAATTTGGAGATTTTAATGGTAACAAATTTAATTGAAATATCCCAAAAAAATTGGAGATTTTTATGGTAACAACTTTGGAGATTCCTATACCAAAATTTAATTCCTTTTAAATATTAATCCATAGGAATCTACTTTTATTGGTAACAAATTTAAAGATTGTTATGCCCAAAAATTGAGATTTTGAATTGAGATATTCCAACAATTACGGATTTTTTTCCTATTCAAATTAATGTTGTATATCAAACAAAAAATTATTCCAAAAATAATGAATGTTATACCAACTATTGATAAACTCCAATCCTATAGGAGATTTCTATGGGATTCTTATGGTAACAAATTGAGATTCTTATGCAAAAAAATTGAGATTTTGAATTGAGATATCATAACAATTTCAGATTTTTTCTCCTTCAAATTCATGATGTAAATCAAACAAAAAATTATTACGAGAATAATGGATGCTATACTAAATATAGATAAGCTCCAATCCATAGGAGATTTTTATGGGTTTCTTATGGTAACAAATTGAAGATTCTTATGGTAACAAATTTGGAGATTCTTATACCAAAATTTAATACATTTTAAATATTAATCCCATAGGAATCTATTTTTATTGGTAACAAATTTGAAAATTCTTATGCCAAAAAATTGAGATTTTGAATTGAGATATCTCAACAATTACGGATTTTTTTTTTCCATTCAAATTAATGTTGTAATCAAACAAATAATTATTCTGAGATAATGGATGCTATACTAAATTAATATCACTAGGCCCACACGTTAATATGATATTAATTAGATAGATAAATTACGTAAATATTTCCTAACAAAATGCGTTCCAATATTGTTAACAAATTTAATGGGATTTTCTTAACTAATTTGATAGGATTTTGGTAACCACGAGATTTTGTTAGCTTTTCGTGGAAACACGAATCTTCATTATTGATAAGGTTTGATAAGATTTTGTTTCATTTTTTCTCTCTCTCTCGAAAATTTGAGTCGTGGATTTGAAAAAAATAAAAATAAATAAAATAAACATATCATATTGATAAAGTTTTAGTGTGGGCATCAATTTTGATTTGATTGAACTTTGTTTCATATAAACCTAAGAGAATCAAACGTTTGAAAAAATAAAATATTAATAGTAAATAATCATACCATATTTGTAAGGTTTGATTTGGAATATTGAGGCATAAAATTCAATTATGATTTGATCACATTTTGTTTTATAGAAATTATCTTAGAAAATTTTACACGTTTCAAAAAATTAAAGATTATAATTTTGTAAATTAAAGTTTTGGATTTGTCCAAATAAATAGATCAAAATAAAAATATTATTTTTCAATCTATCCAAAAAGTCTTATCAAATTTCATTGTAACAAACTCCATTATTTTTGGCTACATAATCTTCTAAATATTCGTTCGTCCCTCACAAGTGAATCACGTTCCACATTTTTTTTTTATTTTTTTAACAAAACCGATAACACATATTTTTAGAAGTCAATCATAATCATAATAAAAAAAATCGGATCGGATCATATTAAATACCTTACGTAAATATTTTTTTATTTCCTAGACATATGGCACATACACATGACTATATAAACATCACCAACGTTGAACAAAAAGTATTCGACATCCAATATATCCCACAAAACAATTTTTTCTACAAGCTTTTACATCACCATTGAAAATGGCTTCGGATTTTGGAGTAATCAAGGATATCAAAAGATCCAATAAGCCACCAATCAAGCTACGCATAATTAGGATGTTCCAACGAGTTGAAGACGTACGCAATTACCAAAATGTTCTTGAGATTATCTTTTATGATTTTGAAGTAATATATTCATTTAGTATTATTTAAATGCATCATTTTATGCAACATTTTTTTATAATTTATTTATTGAAGTATTCATTATGCAATGTTTTAGGGAAGATGAATTACTGGCATAATTCGACCTGTCAATATCCAAAAAATCATCGGTGATATTGAAGAAGGTGGCGCTTATATCTTGACAAACTATCAAGTGAAAAGCAATACTGGCATCCATAAATCGACGATAGGTAAAAAGAGGATCATTATCAATGTTCAAACCAAGATTATCAAATGGAGGGGTGATTTATCAAATGGAGAGGTGATCTATCAAATGGAGGGGTGATTTCTCTATTTTTAACTTTAATGGATGTTTGTAACATTGATGAAGTCATGTTGTTTGGTACGTTATAATTTTTTTGTTTATTTCTTATTTCAATTTTTTTTTAATTTAAAATCTGTAATAAACTATTTTATATGTTATACATTTCAATATGATGCATTTTCTTATATTTTTGTAGATGTTATTGGATTAATTGTTTTCCATTATGTTTTCTTACAACATGACTATAAACAAGAGTGAGGAACAATCATTATCGCATGTGGGCTTCTTTCTTAAGAAACCAGTGTTTAGTCATGGTCAATTGTATGTTGCTGTCTCTCGTGTCACAAACAGAAATGGGTTTGAAAGTCCTAATTTGCGGCGACGATGACGTGCTAAAGAATCAAACCATGAACGTTATATAAGGAAGTGTTCAATAATATATAGATTTTATTATCATTGTATTTATTAATTTATTTATTATTAATGGCATGATCTTTCCTTTAGTAAGTACTTTGAATTTTAACTGAATATTTCTTTATAAAAGGGACGGAGATAATAAACCCCCGTGTATCGCACGAGACTGTACTAGTATATATAATCACATACTTACGATTTGATTTAATTTTAAATTTGATTATAGAGACTAGATAGTATATCATTTTTAACTTTTTCTCATAACCCTCAAAATCTTAACCAATATTTGCAATTGTACATTAGATTTGAACTCCACCAATAACATGTAGACAACACAGCACGACCTTGAAACCTCCAATACGAACTGTCCGCCCACTCAAATAAATACTACTCGCGAGGCAATAGAAAATTACGCGCCCTGATCGGCGCGTAGACCCCACGCTATCCTTTCTCAATTTGTCAACGGACACAGCTTCTTCCACATTCAACAACCTCTCCGCCATCACTGCATAAATTATACTCTTAACCCTAAAGCCCATTACTATAAAGCTCAATTATCTGCACACTAGGATTTTAATATTTCCAAATTCTTATCCTTGTTTCCCCGCAAGTCAACAATTTCCCAAGTCTCTCAAGAAATTTGGGATTTCTTCCAGGTTTAGCAAAAGGGTTCCTTGAATAGCTTTCACCGGCCCCAAATGGAAGGCGTGGCGGCCGCGAAGCCCACTTTGTGGCGGCAGTCTTCGAAGGCGCCGGAGAGGGACCTTCATAAGGTCACTGACGACTTTGACAGAGATAACGAGGATAACGATGCAAACGACATGGACCCAGGGTTTAAGCTGATGTGTATGGCTAATGAGGGTGATGTAGAAGGTATCCAGGAGCTTCTAGAATCCGGTGCCGATGTTAATTCCCGTGACGTGGATTTCCGAACGGCACTTCATGTTGCCGCTTGTCAGGGGCACGGTGGTGTGGCCGAGCTGCTGCTTGTGAATGGAGCTGACGTGGACCCAAAGGATCGGTGGGGGAGCACGGTATAGCCCATAAATCTCTTCTGTGTTGTATATTGTTACTACTTTGTCAAATTTGTATGGAGTAATTTGTTTTCGGATGATTACATTTACATGATTGCTGTCTAGTTCTGTTGAGTGTGCTACAATCCTTTTCAATTTCTAGTTAGTTATCATTTTCAGGGGTTTACATCTTGTTTTGCTGAGAAGTGTGGGATTTTCGAGTTTTCTTTTAACAATATTTGTTTGGAGATATCTGGTAATTGTGTTATGAAAATCAAGAGTTCATATAACAGGTGGATGAGTTTGTTTGTGGTGTTTAGTTTCAGATAAGGCTTATATTAGTTTTCCAAAAGTTGTGAAGTAGAATGTCTTGGAAGAAGTTGAAACTCTTGCATATGTAGTTACTATTAGTTAACAATTGGAGCAACTGTGTTTAGAACAGAAGAATTCTGGATTAAATTTGTTGCATATCCTGCTGGCCTTCCAACACTCTGAACTTGCTTAAATAGCCTCTTGCAGATGCCATACATTACAAAAATCATTCAGTGATCAAGCTACTGGAGAATCATGGTGCAAAACGACTAGTGAGTCCCTTATTTTCATTTATTTTTAATTTTTTTTTATCTTAGTTTTGATGACTGTTTCTGTTTTCTTTCCTTCCACGACTAGTTTGTTTATTGTTATGTGGTGTTTCTCTTAGATTGCTCCAATGCGGGTACAAAATGCCCGTGAGGTGCCGGAATATGAGATTGATCCAAGAGAGCTTGATTTTACTAACAGCATTGCAATAACAAAGGTAATTTTCCATGTGATGTTTTAACACACCATCCTATAAGATGCTGTAAAACATATTTTTTTTTTTTCTTGGGGTTCTCTCTTTTTTCATTCATTAAGTTTTGGTTCCCAAAAGTCATCTAAATCGTGGGGATTGTCTCAACGGTCATTTGGATTTTTTAATCTTTTACTGGAAGTTCTGATTCACAAGAAGAGCTAACAAATAATAGAAACTTATGTTTAGTTACTAAAATTATGATCTCTAGCATGTTGTTTGATATGAAATGACAATCTTCAGTTTGAACGTTGTAAAGTGGTTTGGTCAAAAAATTCTTACCATGTTTCGTTCCTGTGAAATGTGAGCTGTTGTTTAAATTTGCTTACTTTTAGTTAGTCCTGTTGCATTATCTCAAACCTGACCATGAGAACATTTATTCAGGGAACCTACAGAATAGCTTCATGGGGTGGGACCCAAGTTGCCGTAAAAATATTTTGGGAGGGGACTGCCGATGTGTATAAAGTGTGAGTCTTTAAAGTTAAAAAACAGATGGTATATTTTAGTGATCCTTTGAATTTGAGGATTTTTCTATTTTACTCGATTTTCTGTAGGAGGGCATTTAGAAACGAGCTTTCGTTGCTTCAAAAAATAAGACATCCAAACGTCGTTCAGTTTCTTGGTGCCGTAACCCAGAGTAGTCCTATGATGATTGTAACAGAATATTTACCAAAGGTATATTATTATTATTTATTTATTTTTTTTTCTCTTTCCATTTTTCCTTTTAGTGCTTTCGGTTATAGTTTCGTGTTTGTGGTATATATATGTGCAGGGTGACCTTCACGAATATTTGAAAAGAAAAGGCGCTCTTAAGCCCGCAAAAGCCCTCAGATTTGCTATGGATATTGCGAGGTTATGTGCTGTAACTATACATTTTCCAAGAAAATTTTTCACTGGAGTAGAAAAATTTAACATGACCAGTGATTTTGGTCTTGCAGGGGAATGAATTATCTACATGAACACAAACCAGAAGCTATCATTCACCGTGATCTTGAACCTTCGTGAGTTTTCTACCTTTCTGATTTTGTTCATTGTGCTAAATAAATAAATCAATGGGAAATTTACTCTTTCCTAATTTGTCTACTAACAATACAGAAATATCTTGCGGGATGATTCTGGGCACTTGAAAGTTGCAGATTTTGGAGTTAGCAAGCTTCTTGAAGTTGCTAACAGAATCAAAGAAGATAAGCCTCTGACTAGTCAAGATACTGCTTGTGAGTTTTTCAGTTACCTTTTTTTTTCTCCCCATTTAAAGATTCTAATATCGGTAAATTGAACACTATATTTAACATTATCCGTGCATTAACAGGTCGTTATGTTGCCCCAGAAGTCTTCAGAAATGAAGAGTACGATACAAAAGTGGATGTTTTCTCATTTGCATTAATTCTGCAGGAGGTATTTTATCTATCAATCTTGAATAATTTGCTTTTTTTTTTTTTTGTTACTTTGACAAATCGAAATTTCTTATTGTGTACAAAAAAACCGCACAGCTTATTGAAGGGTGCCCCCCTTTTAGTTCGAAGCTCGACTATGAAGTGCCCAAATCGTATATTGCTAAACAACGCCCCCCTTTTAGGGCCCCGGCTAAGTTTTATGCCCACGGACTAAAAGAGTATGTAATGTTCTTCTCAAATATATGAAATGCTATATTTTCTTCAACAAATACAGATGGACACAAAGAAAAATTATTTTTTGCAATTTTTTTTTCTTTTACAGGTTGATCGAAGGGTGTTGGAGTTCGAACCCTTCTGATAGACCGACATTTAAACAAATTATTCCTCAGTTAGAGGCCATTTACAATCGGGTTGCCCGTAAAAATAGTTGGAAGGTATTTTCTTTCCCAGCCAGCCTCTTTTTCTTCTTGTTTATTAAT